CACTGATTTCTAGTCGTGTCCTCTTTTGGAAGGCCAAACAAAGTAGTTTCGCTTTCACAACGAAACATACAGCGTCACACACGGCGGGCTAGAGTGAGCTGCGGCCGGCGGGCTTGAGGCAACCACATGTGACGACCCCGGGCTGGACTACGCTTCGTCCACAGTGAAAGCCGAGTTTCGGCGTTTTAGGAGGGCGTGGACAAGTCTTGACTTTTATAAAGAATATCTCTTTGGATTTGAGACTTTAGTCTTTGCAACTTTAGGGATCTTATCTATTCATGTATGTGCACTACCGTTCACAATTTTGGGTCAGTTAGATTTCTTTTTGAAGAAAAAAAATCCTATTATGTTTTCCCTGAAAATATGAATCACATCTCTTTTCAACATTGATAATAATAAATGTTTCTTGAGCAGAAAATCAGCATATTAGAATGATTTCTGAAGGATCATGTGACACTGAAGCCTGGAGTAATGATGCTGAAAATTTAGCATTGCATCACAGGAATAAATTACATTTTATAATATATTAAAATAGAAAATGCTTATTTTGAATTGTAGTAATATAGTTTTTTTTTTATCAAGTTTTTTGATCAAGTAAATGCAGCCTTGGTCAGCATTTGAGACTTCTTTCAAGAACATAAAATCTTACAAACCCCAAACTTTTGAACGGTAGTGTAAATAAGTAAATGCATTTATAATGGAGGAGTTGGAGCAGATAGTTAAGGAAAAGCAGTTAAGTGTCCATCATACATGTGAACTCCTTATTATTTTGTTTAAAAGCGTCCCAGGTTGCACCTGGGCCCACTTGATGTTACCACTTTATGTAAAATAAAAACACATCTCAATGCTTTCACTGTTTCTTATTTCCCTCCCTGTTCTAGCCAGTACTCCTCTAGATAATGTCTGAAACTTTGTATTTTTATCACCTCTCATGTTATTGCCTCCTTAGGATGGATGAATCACTTTGTTATATTCATTTTTTTTTTTGCCCTCATTTTACCTTTTTTGTAAGTAAGTGTGTCGTGATTATACTTTGCTTTACACTGTAAAACTCTTATCTTTTACATGTTTTTAAAGACGCGTACAGATGGACATCCATGGCCATTGTGTTGTGTCTTTTGCTGTTTTTCTGAGCATCCTGTCATGAGCACCACATGTTTTAGGTGACATGTCAGGTTAAAAATACTCCAACTTTTCTTGAGACCCCTGCCTTCTATTCTTCTCTTTCTAGGTGTTTTGAACACAAGAACACATCCTTTCGTTTTCATTGAATAGACGGTGTCCTACGCATCTGCCAGTGACCATCCAAGTATGCAATTCGTTTTTAGTATTTGTCTGAAACCACAAGCAAAACGATAGACTTTTTTTTTTAGGGAGGCTTAAAGGACCAAAGTTAAAGGACCAAAACAGTTCATTCTTATATTATTATGCTTTTTGTTATTGCAGTTAGCGTGACCGCTGTCGTGCATTTGATGGAGAGGTGGATGCATGTTAGCGGGAGCGATGTGTGTGCATGTTTTATAAAGCACGTTTGAGCAAGGTGTATTCGGGTTTGGAGCTGGCATTGACTGAACTGCAGCTGGCACGTTTGGGAGTTGGTATTGATTCATAGGGAATTTGATTGCAAAGTGTGTATGTGTGTGCGCTTGCGGTTGTCAGATTTGCCTGGCAAGCATGCATACTGCAGCACGTCATGGGAATAGTCTGCAGTGTTTGCGCATGCTTATGTGAGAGAATGTATGCACGCTTCCATGCACTTGTACGTATGGGTTTGCATGCATAAGCGTGTGATGCATAGAGAGAGCATTCGAAAAAGGACAACGTAAGGGCAAAAGTGAAAAGGGCAGTTGCAGGAAGTTGTCTTTTACTCTTTCTGTCATTATACAGTGAAGTTAAGTACAAAAGTAGCGTTTTTACCCATTCTGATATCACTAGTATTACCTTCAAGAACAATGAGGTTGATGCTTTTTAGACCTCAGAAAGGAAAGGGTTACCACGGAGACTGCGTGTTTACGTTCCCGCTTCCCACAGCTTGGTCCCGAGCCTGTTGCCATGACGACGGCCCTGATTCCAACCCGCTTGCTTTGGAAAGCATGTGATTCATTGACATTATCCCCATACCTGCCTGCAGTCGCATGCTCTGTCGGGGAGCTCGTGTATGTATGTGTGTGTCTGCCTGCACATGCGCGCGCTGGTCCACATGTGTACTGCAATGCTAGGCGCAGTTAAAAATAAACGTGCTTTGCGGAATAAGAGGTACAAAGCTAAATGTGTACCAGAAACACAAAGCTCGCATACAGCAGTGAATTCTGTTTACTTCATGCATGCTTTTTCCTTTAGAAGGAGGAGAACATTTTTGTTTAATCTGCCCTTTAATGTCTCATTGCTTGGGCATCTTATGGTTTCACTAGGCTGAAGAGATTTTTCCATGTCTTATTTATGATTGTGCACACGTAAATAGGGTTTCAGATAGTGCTGGGCGGTATGACCAAAAATTTATATCACGGTATTTTTCAAAATTATGCCGGTTTCACGGTACATGACGGTGTATTTTTTTTTCATGCATGACCGGGTGTTAACCATGTTTTCTACTGATTGAGAGAGGAAATACTGCAGTATATTGACTTAGAATGCCCTATTTTACTGTCATGATGAGTGAATATTGTCAAAAAATACCACACTGAATAGTGACTAAACACGACCCATTTTAATACATGTTAACCAGGAGTCACTCTCATTTATAATCGCGGCATCGTCTGATAAAATCAACATGCATCTACACTAAAGAGCGGCTATGCAGTTGTTTTGGCTATATTACTGTTTTAGTAACAAACTAAAAAAAAACAACAAACAAAAAAGTGCATGTGATATTAACAGACGAACTACGCTCATATTTATAATTCCAAACAATCAGTAAGCGACAGGTGCTAGGAAACGCTGTTTTGTACTCATTTATTGACGAGTCGGCTGTGGTGCGGCCAACTGAATGCGCTGCTTCTCTGCCACTCACTGCACAGAACAGACGCCGAGAGAGGTGACACTTCTCCGGGAAAGTCAGACCTCGCGTTCGCAGGACAGCACTGGCGAAATTTTCCAACTGAATCATAGCTAAGGTTTATCCAAAAAAAGTCGCTAGGTTTGTCAGTATGAGTATACCGCCCAGCACTAGTTTCAGATTAAGTGAATGTGAACAGGGATTGAATACATTATAAAGCTTATTCACTTTGTGCCTTAAAATTGCCTGTATTACATGCATTGCCTTGGTTAGGGCATTTTAAAACTTGAGTGCTTTTTAAAAGAGCTGTAAATGGATTAAAAAGTGAACTGAGTGAAAAAGAACCCAGTTAATTTTGCATTCACACTGTCCTTGGCCTTGAAATTGAAAGTGGACTCGGATCTCTCTCTTTTTTTAAGTACCTTTTTAGGGGAAGTCGTGGCCTAATGGTTAGAGAGTCGGACTCGTAACCCAAGGTTGCGGGTTCGACCGGTAACAGGCAAAAGATTCGTAAATATGACGACTCGTTAAGGCGATTCAGAATCGACTCTCTCTTTTGAGAGACAATATCTTTATTTATCATGCACTTTTTTGATTAACAACTTTGCAGATTGTTTTCATTTAAGGATAGCTACGTTATAAACTGCAAAAGAAATATTTTTCAAAAACCCGTATGACCTGCTCTTTAAGGTGAGATAGATATATATATTTTTGAAAAATGTCTAAAAAAATGTGAAAAGTGAAATGAAAGTGCCCCATAAAAAATTGTTTTTTTGATACCCAGCAAACTGGAAACCCACGATGGTTTTAACTGGTCAAATCTGAGCTAGATTAGCTACTCTACGCAGTTTATAATGTGAACGTCTGTTTTATAAAGTTGATTGGTTTTCCAGTGATTTTGGGTTAGTTTAACTATGAATTGAAAGACTGGATGAACAGTCTTAAGTAGTCTGTTTTAAACAACACAAATAATGTTTAAATAAAGAAATGAATTTTAATTCAACTCTTGTTTTTCCAGATGTCTGCCACCCATGTACTAAAGCACACTCCATCTGCTGCTGCCTCGAATGCCTCTGACCAAAACGCACAAACTACATTTCCCATCGGCCTCTTGGGCAAAGAACAGTTACGAATCATTGGAGGGCCGCCCAATCACTGCATGGCTCACCCAAAGCACTCTGGGTTACGGGAGGCGGGGCCTGCGGCCAGCAGTCACAGTCTCCGCCCTTTATCAATCAACAGCGAGGAGGATGATGGAGGGGGCGGGACCAGGGTGAAGAAGAAACGAAGGAAAAAAGACAAGAAAGAGTCAGAGTGGCACAAAGATGAAGAGAGCAACACTAAACCAAAGAGAAGGGAGCAAAAGGAAGGGAAGGAGCTTCTTGCGAGAAAGGCAAAGGTGGCAAAGGAACAAAAGGATCATAAGAAGAGGGAGCCAAAAGCCCAAAAAGAGGTCAAAAAAGTCAAGAAAGGTCAAGATGTAAAAGTGAAAACACAGGCCAAGAACATTGCAACACATCCTCCCTCCAAAAGAGGGAGGAAGCCAAAGTGAGTAAAAAATGACAGAATTGTCATTTTTGGGTGAAATATTCCTATAAATGTACAAACACTACCGTTAAAAGGGTTTTTTAGTGTTTTTGAAAGATGTCTGTAATGCTCACCACGGCAGCATTTATTTTATCAAAAATACAGTAAAAACTTTAATATTGTGAAACATTGTTACAATTTAAAGTAGCTGTTTTCTATTTTAATATATTTTAAAATGTAAATTATTCCTGTGATGCAAAGCTACATTTTCAGCATCAATATTCCATTCTTCTGTGTCACATGATCCTTCAGAAATCATTCTAATATGCTGATTTGCTGCTCAAGAAACATTTCAGATTATTATCAGTGTTGAAAACCGTTTGGGAACCATGCTTTCTTTGATGAACATGAAGTTTTAAAAAACAGCATTCACTGTGAATTTTTATCAATTTAGTGTGTTTTTGCAGAATAATTTCTTTAAAAAAATATTCACTCAGTATTTTGGCCTAACAGTGGACTACTACTGAATATGTGCTTTATAGCAAGACCATAATGGCGGGCATATTTAGCACACTTGGTGCCTCATTTACTAAGAGATGTCTCAGAGAGAGCAAAAATCATTTTAGTTGTTGACTAACAAATGTCGCCTGACAAAAAAAGTCTAATTTCAGTAAATTGCATCCTTTGCATGTGACAATTTTGCATGTATTGTCTTGTTTGCTTGTATTGTTCTTGCTAAGCTCAATCACAGACCTTTTCATGTCTTGATTGGGTGAAATGTGATACAGGGATTGTGGGCGTTACAAGGTGAATGTAGGTACTTATGGGTTTCCAATTTGAAACCAAGGACAAAAATGAAACCTGCAACCACGTGAAGGGCTCTGACCTTTTTGGCTATTTTTTCTAGCGTATTTGGAGAAGTAAAGATACATTTTATGCATGCATTCAAAAGGTACTCAAATATGTAATTTTCTTCAGGGTTGCATTAAACAATCCAATGCCACAATGATGGCACTAAATGGCCTTATGAACACAGTTTATGCCAATCATCTTTTGTGATTGGATACATTCCCTTTTTAAACTTCCTTACCCACTTTGTGGTTCCCTCTCACCACTTGTTTTTCCAAAAGTAAAGCATTGAAATGCAATTTTATTCAACTGCTGCACTCGAGCAAAACTGTTGTCCTACTTGTCCACTTATAAACCAGTAAACGTCTGCACAGCAGATGTCGGTGTTTTGTACCATTATATGGCCAGATATTTATCATTCAAACAAGTCCTTGGGTGGTTAGCGCTAAGATCTGTTAACCTGTGCAAAACTGGAGGTAAGATGGATTTTAAGAGCATTTTGTTGCTGTGTTATGCAGAGAGCAGGGTGCCATGCCTCCGGAGAAGAAGAAGAAGGGAAAGAGGAAAAGTGATGCTGTACTTGAGATGGTGGAGAGTGATGACACAACCTCTCTCAGCACGCTCGCCACTGGCGAGGAAAGCATCGACCCTATGGATAACACTGTGAGTTCTCCTGAAACCATCTACATCTGGCATATGGGTTTCTCCTGAGCTGAATAATTATGCTGTGTATTTATGCAAATACCAAATCCTAAAGTCCATGTTCATGTTCAGAGTTCAGGTTCAAAGTTCTGCCAGGTTTAATAGAACTTTCCTAGAAGTATTTCCCTGGTTTAATACAAGTTAACAGTGGCATGTTAACAATTACCACAAAAACTAGGGATGCACAATATAGCTTCCATATCAGTTATGAACTGCTATTGTTTTTTGGATGATATAGTATATTTAATTTTCTATTTTTACGTTTAGTTTAACTTTGCACTCACTTAGTGTTTAATTATTTAAAATTGTTAAACTTGAACTTTAGAATCTCTCAAAGTGATACATTTATTGCAGCATTTAAAATAATTGAAAATGTGTGTGTGTGTGTGTGTGTGTGTGTGTGTGTGTGTGTGTGTGTGTGTGTGTGTGTGTGTGTGTGTGTGATCATTTAGACAGCTTTTATACTCACATTATGACATTTAATGGTAAATTAGTTAAAAAAGCACTCATGTTTTTTTTCTATCTTTGCATTTTTCTCTAAAACAATCCTTTGACGGTCAACCTGAAGTTCATCTGAATCACCAAATATGTGTGTGTGTGTGTGTGTATGTATTTATGTATTTATGAATGCCAGAATTGTAATAATTTTAATTCACTGTGTCTATTGAAAAAAAAAAAACTGGAAATCAGAAGGAATTAATGTAAATATTCTCACTGTTTTAAAAAGTGTCCATAAAGTATGGATAAAAATTATTAAAAATAAATAAATAAATGTGTAATAAATTAGTGTGACTTTAAAATTACAGATCTGGCTAAATTAAATCAGTAATCTTTGGATATACATAAAGATTTAAAGATTATGTAACTAAATAAAGTCTAAACAATTTTCTTTCTTTCTTTCTCTGTCTCTTTTTTTTTTGCATTATTTTCATAAACACATTTTCCCCATAATTCCATTGAGTAATGGATATTTTTGTTGCCATTAATGTATTTATTAATTTCAAAATTTTTGGTAATTGTTTTTTTAATTTGACTGTAATGTGTAAATACATTTCCTTCTTTCTTTCTTTCTCTGTGCAGAAGAGGCGATCGGGGCGTCAAGTGAAGCGGCGGAAGTATAACGAAGATCTTGATTTCAAGGTCGTGGATGATGACGGGGAGACCATCGCTGTGTTGGGCACGGGCCGGTTTGCCGCCATGTCTTCCTCTACCCTCGCCTGGCAGGCTGAGGTAACCGTGGCAACATCTGCCATTATGCCACACCACAGACCTGCCCTACTTCTGGAGGGGCGGAGCAAACACACACTGGAATAATGCCCACCTTCTTTCTTCCCAGGAACCCCCTGAAGATGAAGCTAATATCATTGAGAAAATACTCTCAGCGCGAACGGTCAAGAAAGAGGTAACAGTGTCAGATTACATGTTACACTAAATGATGGATTACTTGCTTGCATTCAGGTCCATGATAATTTTGCAAGCTATATAAAATTAAGCAACAATATTTCTTATGTGGCCATGAAATTTCCTATAGAGTGTGTATTTGATTCAGCCTATTTAGAATAGTGGTCGCTCAATATGTGGTGTTCAATTATTGATTCTTAAACCTTGAATATTTAAATTCTTGATTTACACCATGATACAAAAAGACCAGAATACTGAAGACATTTGAATGCAGTACTGTAGCATATACCGCTCTGTACACTGGGTGCAAGGAACATCTGCCTAAAATGAAATCGTTTTCATGTAGACATCCCTTGACGAACCACCAGAAGAGATGGAGGAGTTTTACGTCAAGTTCAGAAATTTGTAAGTGTACTCATGCGACTCAAACTGCTGTTACCTTTTTGCGCTCTCAAACTCTCAAACACTCAGCTTGTCAAACTGTCAGAGCAAACACATAACTCACATTTATTGTGTAATGCATTACTTAAAATCATTTATGCATTAAATTATCCATCTGCTAGAGTGGTAATACACCCTGCCTCAAGGAATAATTTGCTGAATCAGCAATGGTGTGATTTACAGCAAGATCTTTTTCTGGTGTAATTCTGGAAATTACAGTACTGCAAATAGGAACAAGTTACTGGGTCACATTTAACCTCGATAACAAAAAAAATATATTAATTGCTTAAAGACATTAAGAAAAATATACCTTTTAGGATTATTGATTTTTATTTTCCATTATTTACATGATAATTAAGCCTATGCCG